ACAGTTACCGGTATTTATTTCACCCATAGCACCTACTGGCACCTTACTGGCCAGTAGGCTACAGGCCACCGTAGCTTCAGTACCTACTGGCACCTTACAGGCCAGTACAGACCACCATAGCTTCAGTACCTACTGGCACCTTACAGACCAGTACAGACCACCATAGCTTCAGTACCTACTGGTACCTTACAGGCCACCGTAGCTTCAGTACCTACTGGCACCTTACAGGCCAGTACAGGCCACCGTAGCTTCAGTACCTACTGGTACCTTACAGACCAGTACAGGCCACCGTAGCTTCAGTACCTACTGACACCTTACAGACCACCGTAGCTTCAGTACCTACTGGCATAGACATAATATACGTAGACGCCTCATGACGTGCTGGAACGTAATCTAACGTCGCCGCCATATTGGTTGGGTCTCCTCACTCTAGTCTAGCATCGGAGTCAATGGAGAGCAAGCTATGCCAGTATTTTGTGCAGCTTACGGTTGCAATAACCGGCAGTATTGACACCAGATCGCGTGGGATTACCTTTTACAAGTAAGATTGAACAATAATTTAGGTTTTTTTTTTTTTTAAATTTTACTTTATTTTAGCGTCCTGTATCATAACTAAATCTCTGCCGTTTGTAACAAACCAAACCGTGTGAAAATCCGGTAAAAATTCGGGGAGTTATGATTATTGTAGTTGGGGATACACCTTCCTCAGTAGAAATAAATGCACTGGGGGCGCACTGGGGACCCATCCAAGATGGCGGCCGTGCTGATACGTCACCTCCAACAGGCAGCGTCAGTCTATGAGGTGTCTACGTATATTATGTCTATGTCTACTGGCACCTTACAGACCAGTACAGGCCACCGAAGCTTCAGTACCTACTGGCACCTTACAGGCCACCGTAGCTTCAGTACCAGATGCCACTAAATTGTACACAGTGTACCTTTAAGCCCTGTATAATGCTTAGGCTTATCTTATCTCACAATTACATTTGTGCATGACGCAATACAGATGCTTTTGACATTTGTTAAAAGTAATTTATATATTTGCATGATATATTTGAATAACCATTTTCAAACAAAACTTCCTCTTAATTAACGACAACGTTGTTATCAATCAATGATTACCAATTACACTTGATTGCAACCTTTCTAAATCGATGAAGTTGGATCCTCACCTCAAGATCAAGTCATTACAACTCACCAGTCTGCTGTGGTACTGAATACACAGACATACTTTTTTTTTTTTTTTTTTGGGGGGGGGGGGGGGGGGGGGGGGAGTCTGACTTGATTAGAATTGTGCAAATGATGCCCTTTACCTTGTGGTACTGGGGATTTAGAGCTGAAATAAATCATATTTGTGATGCAGGAGCAGTAGTTGAACTCTCATCCCTCCTGCAGCTCTCATCGAGTGCTTCCTCCCTCCGCCTGTACCAATAGGCGGGGGAGAAAATTAATCTGAAGTGTTCAAGGAATTGTATCAGATCCATAGATGACCTCACTTGACACGTACAGAAAAGAAAAGGAAACATATAGCACATCATTTTGGAGTTGATATCGATCAAGGAAGAAACGAAACATGTTTAGTTCTTAAATGGTTATTTATTAATATGGTTTAAAGAGACATCATTTTGAACTAAGCCTATTTTGTACCAACACTGACTAAAGTGACGTTTTGTTGCCAGACCTTTGTGCTGCTGCATTGGACCTTCAAGCAGTAGTATGTCAAAAATCATAGAAAATCTAGCACAGTTTAGAATTATGGATACGTACACATTACGTATATCGACCAAAACAAGTCAATGGCAAGTTCCATAGATACTCATCTATGATCCCTTGGGCCAAGGCCTTTTCTGTCACACAGACACAAGCAAGTAGGCTACTACCAGAACTAGAGCCAGATCCGGAACACACACACACACACACAGCAGATGTGTACTCGGAGAGGGGCTGCCGGCCAATGAATTTATATTCTGCAAAATGTACTCTTTAGTATAATGTCTTAAGAAAATGTTTTTGTCACGGCCTGTAATTGAAAATGTTGTTCTTTATTACAGAGCAATTCCTTATTAGACTGAAAGAATGGCAATTCATGGAAGAAAGTGACTTTGTTGCAGTTCTCTTCATTACGCAATGGGAAATAAATACAACATTTGAGTTATTTACACAGCCTAATTTTGTTATTCGTTAGCATTCTGAACCCAGTCTCAGTAAATAGTGACTACTTGTCTGTTATTGTTGTTGTGTTGATGTGTGTAAAATGTATTGTTGGTTCTCCTTGTGAACTATGTACACTTATCTCCATGTCATCCACTCATCCATCTATGTCATTAAGTGAGTACACCATCCAATCCACAATCAATCCATCGTAATCATGTTGGTTATTCTACTTTGCTGACTGCAGTGGACAAATTCCTTGCAAAATCCATGTCACAGTTGGTTAAATTAAACCAGAAAACATAGTGAGGAGTTATTTAGTGTAAATATACCTCACACCTCGCCAACTATTATGAAATGTCATCGTGATGGTGACAATGTTTTATGTGCGGTTAAAACGTTTCTTTTGTTCTGTTTTTCCATGTACCTAGAACCCATCAACCAATATAAGACAACTTAACATTTAAATGAGATTGGATGTGATTTTCCATTGTCACTGAAACAGGAGATCAGAGCTTAACGCCTAAAACATCACATTTCATTAGCATTTACATTTCCTGTCATCATTGGGTATATAAAGAACACTTACGGAAATCATCTTTGCAAAGACAATATTAAAAACTGACATTGAAGGGTGTCTTACATTGGAGTGACAGTGTTCATGTTTTTTTCACATTCAGAGAAAAGAAGTTTGGTTAAAAAAACTTGCAGCCTGTCCTTGCATCCTCTTGCGTATATTGGGCTGTGTCTCTGCCTTCAGAGCCCGAAACGGCACCTCACTGGGGACATGAGCACAGAAAGCCTTTTAGGCGCTTTTAACTGGAATAATCAAGCAACCTTCACTCCTTAAAGTGCTCGTTTGGGATAACAGTTCTTCTCCCCCCTCTGCCCCTGCTGTATGTACATTTCTTTAAGCCTTGGTAATTTACAGAACAAATATACGTTTAAGTCCGCTTGGGGTTCCTTTGGGGTTTACCATAATATGGGAAGGAGGCTGGAGGAGGTGGAGGTAAGGCTTGCAGAGGCAGATGCTCTGCATTTTAAGCGGCCAGCGATGAGGTTAAAAAAACAAAACAAAAGCAAAAAGGACATCTGCATGAAATACTGTGTAGTTTAAAATTCAACATTCGAGCACTCAAAAAGCAAGGAAAACAGATTTACAAACTGAATATTATGTTTTGTTTGTTGGAGCTGCACCTGGTGGGCTGGCATCGCAAATAAACAGCACTGTGAAAGGAAGAATAACAAAAAAGCCATGATTGTTTATAGGAAATAAAAAGGTTAGCCCTACATATAGCCTGCGTATTTAATTGGTGAACCAAAAGCTTGTGTGTGTATCACATGCTTTAGGTTGGATTTTATGCGGTGCACAAACTGGGGTGGTAATTTGTCCTTGACATCGTCTCCCTCTCAGGAGAGGCAAACGGTGTGGGTGATATACTTGGGAGAAGCCCGTCTCTCCTGACATTTAGTCTGTTATAGCTATAGTGCTACTTATCCAGCTGCTGTTGCAGCACAAAGCACGTGAATTACTGTGTGATCTATGTGAAATGTAGGACGATCAGAAATACGTACGGTGCCCAACTTAATCACTCTTAATTATACAGAAACACACATATGCACCTTCATGCACCTTGCTAAGGGTCATTAACACCTGGGAGGACTGTGACTGAAATTGGATTTGGCTATAATGCTGCATTAGTCTATTTGCATAAAGTGTGATGACACAATCTGAGAAGGATGACATGAAAGCTCGGCAAATGTCCTTCCAAGTGTGTGTGTGTGTGTGTGTGTGTGCCCGCATGTGTGTGCGTGCGTCTGCGCTTGCGTGTGTGTGACGGTAGGGAGTTAAGGTGGGGAGATGGCCAACCGTGGCCAATTGGTCCAAAGATTAAACCAGAATCAAAGTCGCGCGATTCATTTATCATCCCTATAAGCCACGCCGACTTCAAACGCCAGTGGCAATTAGACAGGAACTTCAAAGGCAGTGGCCAAAAATCTGCATCAGTATGCAAATGATAAAAAGGTGTTTCACTGTGACTGTCGCGTGTTTGATCAGCAGAGGTCAAAAGGAGAGTGTTAAAGATGATACATTTTGAATGACTGATGACTTGGCTCTAGTGACAGTTTTGATTGACACATGGATGTCTGCCGACATTAACACTTAACCTCTACCGTCTGTGTAATAGATGACATATGAACATAAAGTGGCAGAACCAACACAATTGCTTACTTATATCCATCCATTTTTCTTTTCTTTTATCACACAAACAAACTAATGCCATCTTTCCACTGGTAGTACCAGCTCGTCTCGCCACGCCTTAGTGCTGGCTCTACTTGGTTTGGTTTCAGACGTGTTGCGTTTCCATCTAGAATTAGTATCTTCTTCAAAGTGGGCGGGTCATCATCAGTGACGTACTTATCCACACGACACGTAAACTGGGCTGGCTCTGGATGCGGTCTTCAGCGACAACACTCTGCGTCTGCACCTCTGCCAGGGTCCACGGCATGTTCTTGCGTTGTGTTGTTCCTTCCCTGTTGATCAGTAATTGCTGAACGCAGCTAGTATTTAAAGGTAGCGGGTGTCAGGCTCGGACGTCGCGCTCATCATGAGTCGTCAAGCGACGTCGCTCTCTGTCCAATCAGTGGCCGGCTGCCAGCTTACATCACACAAAAGTATCAGCTCAGCTCGGTTGGAACTTAAACGGAGGTGATACTAAAAAAAAGCACCAGTTAGCAGGTACCAGGTACCAGATATCGGCAATGGAAAGGCAAAAAAGGCACGCTAAGTCGAGGCGAGACGAGATGGTACTACCAGTGGAAAGACGGCATAACTGTGTGGCTTTAACTAGCTCAACTGGTAGAGCACGACATTAAGGTTGCCAGGGCTAGGGGTTCGATTCCCACTGGGACTGAACATGCTAAAAATGTATGCACTCATGGTATTGTTAAGACGCCACAAAATGGCGCATATTGATACCGCTAGTATATTGTGGACTGAAACATGGTAATAACATATTTTAAGTAATCATATTTTAAAAACAAGCATTGAAAACTGCAAGAAAATAGGTTTAAAACCACTTAGGTTATGGCTAGTCATAATTAATAGGATGATATAAAGGCGGTTGTTTATTTTTCTTAATTGCCAGTTGTGTCTCACAGATCAAATAAGGTGTTTCCGAGGTGCAACATCAACATCATCTCCCTTGAATCTGTATTCATGTCACAGCTGGATAAATAGACACCTGGTGTGCTGGTGTCGTTCAATGCAAGAGGAGAGGAGCAGTCGATGTCATATCATCATCAAGCAATAGTCCAAGTCCAAGTAAGATCCAGTTGAAGGGGTGTATCCTGGTTACCAGAATGATTTGTTCTGAACGGGGGGTGGCTGTCAAGTGATCTGGGCATTGAGGTTGACCAGGAGATCAGAGCAGGGTTTTAAGATTTTCACAGGGCTGTAGGATTTTCACAGACCTTCTTTTACAGAGAATGTAAGGTTCAAGAAATTTGATGATAGGATGTCAACTCGCCGTGACCCTTGCAAAGAGAATGCAACCTGTGTCTTATCTTATTTTTAATAAGTTAGAGGGATCATATACCCAGTCTGAGTGCATACAGAGCTGTACAAATCAACATGAGCGTTCAGCACCAGATTGCTTAGCACCACAACATGACAAATTTCTCCCACACATTCATTATAAATGACCTTTACCTTTTGTGGTCTCGTGTTTTTCAGCGACGTTTGTTAACCTAATAAAGACTGCATTATTGAGAGCCCACTGTTGTATCGCCCCTCCTGTGTTTAGTGCCGTTTAATTCATAGGGCCAGTTCAGTCACTAGCCCCACTATCAAGTCCAAAAAGACTACCCATCCATCAAGATGTGTTCAGGTGTTGTAAGTGCTCTCTCAGCAGTGTATGGTGTTCAAAGAGCCAAAAACACAATCATAATTTAAGACAGAAATATAAATAATGATAGTTACTAACAGTTGCATAGATTGCACAACGTGAGCGCAAGGAAATCATCCAAAAAGCATAATAAACTATTTTGGATGATTTGTTTTTACACTTTAAATGCGAAATAGATTTAATGAGAGCTGTGTAAATCTCTTTAAGCATGAATGGTGAATTCTCAACACCGAAATTGCACAGTGATTGTGCTATGCTGTGCAGGGGCGGCCTGGGAACAAAAATCGGCCCGGGCAATTTTGTCCTGGACTGGCCCTGGGGTTGCGCTATTGTTGACCACCGGGGGGGGGTTCTGCGCTGTGATGTTCTGATGCTGTGTAAGACAAATTCACCAATTCAGTGATCCTAATCTGTATAGGCTGACCACATTCATGATGGATCATATCCAGTCCATCCAGTTGTTAATTTTTAATGTACAAATGTGGGATCACTTGTTGGTTTTTCCACAAAGACAGGGGACATCTTTGTACGACTAGGGATTTTGGACATAGTCCTAGGTAGCGAAAGATTCAACCAACCACCCAAGCAGCTTTTGTATGTAGCGTCTGCCATTCATCAAAAAGGGACATTTCTTTCCTTACGTGTCAGCACGGTAACAGCAAGATACGCCATGAGAAATGAACCCTGGGTGCAATCTATAAATCATTTCTTTTGTCACACTTGCCTGATTTAGAGCCAATTATGAATGACAGGTGATGCCCACCATTCAGTGTCAAAGCCTGTGTGCCAGAATGGGGCCAGCGTAGAAAGCTGCATTGAGAGGCTTCATGTTTTTGAATTCAGTTAAATACATTAATGAAATAACTGCAGTTTTGGGGCTTTAATTTTAATATACATACAAAAAAATATAAATATATATATTATATAGGCCACCTTTTTACAGTATGTGTGAAGAAAACATGCATCCCAAGAGGCACAGCACAAAAGGTAAATGTGTCAAAAAGCCACAATTGGGTGTGTTATGTCCATGTTCCTAGATGGCATGTTGTAAGGGACTGGAGCGTCTGGGTTTTGTAGTTCAGCAACGAAGGGCAGCAATGTTTGCAATGCTCTGAATGAACTATGAAGTCGGCTACCTATTTCTAGTGTGTCTTCAATGGTTGTGAGCTCTTTTCATAGCTGCTTGTTGACATGATTTACCTCCATGTTTAGAGGACAACAGGAGTAAAGTAACTAAGACGTTTGAGAAAGTAAAAGGCAGGAAATCGCATTTGCTAATTATGTTCATCACCTAAACAATGTTTATTTGTGTTGACAAATTAACAAAAAGGTTGGTTAGTAACATTTTTCATCCACTTCTTATGTGGTTTGTAGGAGACAATCAAATGCATTTTCAATCTGCTCATAACCGCTCCCTTATCCATCATTGATCATTCATATGAAAAGATGAGACTTCATAAATATGCCATGCTTTGAAATGTACATGGGCTGAACCTTAATTTATCTGCACTTAGGATATAGATACAAAGAAATACAAAGCTGTTGTTTTACTTATTATGACCACTTAAGAAAACAAAGAGTATTTGATTGGCTTGTGGATTTCAGAAAATATAGCCTAATTAACTGCACTAATTTCAAGAAAATGTAGCAACCATGATCTCACTAAAACATCTCAATTAAAAAAATAGAGTATAAACTATTTCAGACGCGTTGCCAGGTAAACAATTAATACCGTTGTCAAGTTAAAATTAAATTAGCGATAATAATCTCAGCAGTCCTCGTGGCCGTTTCTTCATGGCACAGTGAGGGCCCTTCATTTTGAAGCCCCATCAACATGAAGGGAAAAATATAGCACTTAGTACAATCACACTCAAAACAAACAGCTAAAACCTCATGAAATTGGTTTCACTGTTGTAGAGATGACACAAATATGAAATCCTGAGTATAATTAGCTTTTAAGCCATCTAACCCATACCATTGCACATATAACAAACCTCGGCTCCCCTGACATGTGTTGATGACCTTCATTGCTTTTTGTACACATACGCAGTTAAAGCTTGACAGCTATTTTCACAGTGGCTCTGTGCTAAAAGCTGCACTTCGATACACATATACATTGATCACAATCATGACGTTTCGGTTATACAACCCATTTCGGCGAACACACTCCTCCTCTCAGCTTCTGTGCTACACGTCAATAAAACCATTAGGTAGTGTAACGTTATGGCATAAATGGCAATTTGTCCCCAGAAGCAGGACATGCATGTCAGCCCTAGCACTCCCCCAACACTTCCACACTTCCCCAAGTATTACCATGAGATCAAGCCATATTGAACCGGCGCTATAAAACGGAGGATCAATCAACAGCCATGACAAATATAATTACCTCTGACTAAAGAGTTTTCCCGCTCTTCTACAGGGGTGGAGTAGGACACACGTCGGGACTCTGGTGATGTCAGCTTCGAGCTCTGGCTGAGAAATATGTTAATTGCCTTGGCACTCTTGTCAGAACTATATAGCATCTTGCCTATATTGAAACAAATGTGTATCTTTCAATCTCTTTCATCAGCACGGGGAAAGTTATCTGTCAACAGGCACATTGGTACGTGGTCGACAACCATCCATTCATCTGTAAGAGCGCCTTTCCGCTGATTGATAAATGGTGGGCCGGAAATAGGCTTTCTACATCGCACCCACTTTTGTGCTCATCATTTCTTATCATGTAAAAGGAAAAAAGAATGTAAATTAACAAGAATGAAAGGTTCAAATTTGGCCTGCTACAAATAAATGAAGGGACAGGCTGAGCCTACGAAGGGTGTACAGATGGGCTCTCAACAGCAGAGAGTCGGTAAGTGATGAGAATCACCCATCTGAGCTCAGCGTTTGGCCCACACCCTCACTATCGCGTGATGTAAGAACCAGGGCATAAAACGGTACGGTCACGGTGTGGCCTTGCATAGAAGGAGTTTAGGGGCTATTGTTGCAGTAGGCCCACTTTTCGCTGTGTCGTTGCACCCGTCGTTGATTTTGACTGCATAGCACTTGCTTCTATATTTGAACCGAGGGGGGAAACGAGAGAGTTCAACAACAACAACCCTGTATGATCTGCCCTGTATGATTTCACAGTCGACTGTGAAATTTTGCACAAAGGGCTGGAATAAGCTTTCACTGAATTTGCCTGACCTCAAACAGAGGAAAATTTCACAGTTGACACACAAGAAGCCGAGGTTCTATTTCATGGTTGTATGCTTTGCCGCCAAGCTGTCTAAAGAAATATCGTATCAGCTCCCTACTTCTCTGCACGCCATTTAATTTTAGCTATGTTTATTTCTGTCTCGAAATTTTCAAAAATAACATCTCATGCATATGCAAATTAAAACATTGAAATCTGATCTCCAAATGCAATGTCAGTTTTGTTACACAATCTGGCATATAAACATGTCTTATTTTGGATGTCAAACATATTTGTCAAACAACACGTCTTTCATATTGACTTAAAAATAATAAGACACTCAAAGTGTTTCTAACTATACGTGTTACCATGGGAGATGAGGTGACTTAGCAACAACATCTATCCAGGTATAGCCAATTTTTTACAGTATTTTATTGCTTATAAATTAAGATTGAAGGGGAACCATCATGCTCCGCTATTTGCTAATATTACAGAGTACAGCTTCTGTAATCTGCAACATTAACTCTGTTTCCGCTGAAAAGATGGACCATTGGAGAACGCAATCCCAGACTAATAACGTCAATGATCCCACTTTAAAAACAAAAAAAGTTTGTGCGGAAACAGTTGATGTTGCAGACCGCAACGTTTTTCACAACATGTGTAGGAAGCAGTACTCTCTTATATTAGAAAATAGCCAAGTGTGACGGTTCCCCTTTAAAAAAGGTCTTTACCACACAAACCAACCCATATTTATATTTGATGAGTTCTTTCCACTTCCCAAATCAAGGTTGTACTGACAGTAGATTGACTCCCCTTCGCTGTAGGGAGAGAAAGAC